AACCTGCTATCTTATATAATAGGTTATTGCCAATCAATCTGATGACATCTTTTTGTAAAGAAATAAAACCGTTGATGTTACACGACTGATCCTTCACTCGGTGTACAAACACATAAAACATTATTTTACAATACCAGATCATTCCGCTAGTACTTGCTATGATTATAATCCAACACCATTTTATTATAATAAAAATGTTGAATTATAGTAATTTTTTTATGTGTCGCACACCGGGTGAAGGATCAGTCGTCCCAAGTTAGGCCCAAACCGTAATTTTCTCGGCCCATTTCCACTAGTGATGTTACCCAAACTATTTGGGACGTTCCAAATTATGTGATGAATAATATCGCGTGAGGTATTTACCTCCTTATTGTTATTGTTGAAATCGTGTGATGCTATTCATCACATAATTTGGGATGTCCCAAATAGTTTGGGTAACATCGCTAATTCCCACCCTACATGTGATGATTAGCATCATATATGGTTAAGGCAGAAGTTTACTTTTTAAAAAAAACGAAAACTTATCTTGTCCGTTTAAAAAAGTTGGTATAGTAATAACTTCTCAAAACCCGAATTAGATCTTGTTTTTGACTATGGATTCCTACAGCTCTAATGGAACCATCTATACAACTTTTTTTTTATTATGATTAGCTTTCGTTTTTTTAAAAAGTACTCTAAACTGTATAAATAATGTAAAATTAAATTTGAATTTATTAGCCAATCAGACGGACTTCCACCTATGAGTTAAAGACCAGGTTAAAACCATATGTGATGCTCACGTGGTTTGGGCTGTCCCAAATAGTTTGGACGGCAACTATCGCTATAGGTATACAAATAGAATCAAGATAAATATTTACTATATTATCACAATAAATTTAAAACCAAACAAGAAACCAATTCCTATATTTAGCGATAGTAAAACATTCACATGAAATCCAGAATTTTAGCGTTAAAATGTCGTAAATAAACGTAGAATTTTTAATTTCCGGTAAAGGAAATTAATGATATTTAATTAATTAAATTACTACTTTCTACTGATGCTGTGCGTGCCTCTTTATGGAATTATTTATTTGGATTTCGAAGAAATAAATTTGTAGTTCCGAGATAGTGAAACGTGGGAAATTGCAAACTGGTCATACGTTTAGCATTTTATCAAAGTAATACAAAGTAAATTATAATTACGTAGAGAAATCTATAAAAAAAAAAAATTATCAATAATATGACCTTAATTCATGTCCGAAGCGAAGACGAAACAAAGACATGAAGAGCTAAATATAGTTTGAAGATAACGGAAGATGGTCCAATGATATTCGCATATATATACTTAAACGCAAGCAACAATTGCATTGTGCTGAAACGTGACTGAGTCCTGATATTACATGCAGATCGAAAGTTTGGGTAACCACGGATCGAATTAGGAAATTTTTGGTTAATACCAACAAGTTTAATTGGTTACATTGGTTATAAAAAAATATCGGCCTATTAGACTGGTCAATCAATATATTAATTCACTATTAGGTGTGAGTCTAGTTACTCTTTCGCTTTTCTTTGTTTTCTAATTTGACAAAGGTTTCTTCCGTTCAACCATCTATCATGCAACATCGGGATGGTTTAGCTATTATATTTTACCCCACTTCTCCGTCGAGGAAATTACTTCAATTTCATACTTGGATAACAGAGTATGAGTTGAAATATCATCACTCATTTACAGAAAGCATCTCTACAACATCCATTGCGTCAATCTCAACTCCTCAGAAAAATAAGGAGGAAAGAATACTGGGTAAAGATGGTTTTAGTAAGGTTCCTCACGAGCTTATGATGATTATTATGGATAATTTGGAAGCTACCGACATTCTTTCTTTATCTATGGTGAGTTTGATTAGTGTCATTATAATCCATTTGTTTGATTCTATTTTAATTATTTTTCGGACACTAGGTGAATAAAAAGCTAAGGGCTCATACTCAAGATAATTATCTATGGCGTCAAATTCTCTTACGAAATTATGGAGAGTCCGCAATAAAGGATGAGCCAAAGCACACAAGTCGCAAGATAATGTGGAAAAGGACAAAACGTAGTAAGCAACCACAAGTAGAGCCAAATTGGCAGAAAGTCTTCATGAGATTATGTAAGTTTTTTTAAATATTTTTTTATTGTGTTCTCTATTTATTTTGATCCAACAAAACTTACAATATTACTGAATAGCAACTGTCAAAGTTTCAACGAAAACTGCAATTTCACGGGGCAAACCTGGTGCTTATTATCGATATAGATATTTCGATCATAAAGCAAATGATTTTAGGTATATACCTCGCAATTGCGATCGCATATATGCACATTTTATTAGTCTCATACATATTTATTTCTAACTATTATGATTTTATTTTTATTTTTTCTAATTTTTAGTCGTTACGGTAATAGGATTAGACAGAGACAGCGTTCATATGAGGTTCGTCTATTTTTGTAGTGCTTATTATTTTTTATTTATAGTAGATTATTTAATTTGTTATTTTGCTTTTCCAGATTGAAATGACCATAAGTAACGTTCCACCTGGTGTCTACGACATCATATGGCGAATGAGGATTGACAAGTTCTCTTGCAGACCAATCTTAACTTTTTCTACAGATATTTGGTTGCGTGTATGCATCCTTTGAGCACTATTAGTCATGCTACAAGTATTCAATGGTCCCATGGTCACAGTCATAAGCGTTTATTAATAACGTTAAAACGTTCATAGTACGATACAATAAGAATTAGGATTTTGCAGGTGCCGGTATAGTACTATTAAAACATAGTACCCATGCCTGTGCCTGGGACTGTTTTAATAGTACCCGCGCCTGCACTTGCAGAACCTGAAATATTTTATAATTTATAGAAATATCCAAGTTTTTGCCGTCTTGTTAATGGATGAAAAACATAGACAAATTTATGAATTATTCCGATTTTTATTCAAATTTAATTGTACGTTACATGAGATAATATAGTCGGATTGGGCAGTAATCACGGGACCATGAACTTTTGGCTAAATGACTACGTTATTCTTCTTTACCTTTTGATTTTTCAAATTCATTAATTTTTTCTATTTATTTCTCCATTCATTTAGCATGATATATACCTAAATTCTTATGAAAGAGAATCCAAGTTCAAATTTTCTCCTGACCCGGACAAACTCCAGGAAGTATTTGACAAAGGATGGTTTCATTTTCGGTTACCTTACAAGATTGTAATTGCTAAGAAGGATCAATTTGATGATAGAAGATATCAAGTGCACACTGGCATTTCATGTTACGCCGAAGATTTACCAAAATCCAGATCACTTAAAGGACCTTTTGTATGTATCTCGTCATTTTCGGTGAATTAAACTTTATATGTTATTTGTTATTAATAAATTTTGCTTATAAATAATTATAGTCCGTTGATTATGTATGTTTACGTCCCCACATTGCATATGACCACGTAGAAAATCCACCTATCATTGAACATTTAGAAAATGATTATGAAAGTGTATATAGCGATAATGAATATTATGATATACAAAATAATACCGAAGAAAATGTTTTCAATTCTTTAAAGAGGAAAAAAAAACTGATCAAAATTTTATCTTGTAGTGCTGGTGGTATGATTTCCAATAGGGACAATTGTTCTTATGGAAGTGGAAATCATCATCGTAGCACTTTGTAGAATAGATTTTTTCCTTTTTTTTTTTTTTTTTTTGTATCATATTTTAGAAATTCCTTTATTACTTAACGACTTCGGTCACTATGAAACATTAATTGGAATGTTTACGTTTTTTTTATATAGATAAAAAATTATACCTTTTAAAATTAGCATTAAAATTATATTAATTGTAACAGTATAGTTAATAAACATTTATGGTTTGCTTGATGTGTAAGTCGAACCAATTTATATGGTGAAATTCGAAAAATTTATGGTTTGCTGTGTAATATAAAATATTCGAATCTAATTGGTTTTCCAATCCTGATAAACCCTTTTTTTTATTGACGCATATAAAGAATTTGTGTCGACCATTCTGCATTATGATTTTTAAGTTAGAGTTAGGGTCTGCATGAATCACTAAGGGTCTAATTACAAACGTAGTGCAGGTGATATAGTGGTGATCATTAATCATTATCGTTATAGATGAAATTCGAGCTGCAATAACTCTCGAACCAGCAAACCCACACAAATGAAATTATATTTGTCGTATCCTTTTTTATTTATTTTTTATTATTTGGAGGATTCTATTTTCATGCAAAATTGTGGTCCTTGATGTTTTTTTAATAAAAAGATCAAAACAAGTAACTTTGTCTATTGTATTGTATATATAGTATTATGAAATGACGATCGACAAAACATTCAAAGTTATATCAAGATTTACTTTTAGATTTAAATACGTAGTGTATTTTTCTTATGAAGGCGTATGATGGGTAAATATAAAGATTATAATAAATAAATCATTAGGTGCTAATTTAGATAGTGCATTTGCATTAAGAAATCGAGGTGCAAAATATTATCAGTTATGCAAATGTGGTAAATTGCTTAACGTTAAGCAGTTGAAGGAAAGTTTCTGACAATATGTAAAAGTCACATAAAGGAAAAAAAAAGCCAATAACTCGTGATCTACCAAACTAATTTGAACAATTCTACCATTATTTTAAAAACCGGAATGAGTGTTTATTTGACGCTAAGTACGTATTGTTTGGATTTCTTAGTTGATCTACATCAGTGTTTATTCTTCACGTGCGCAAAATCCAATCAAATTTTTAAATGATCTACATATCGCAACTCCTTAATAATTGACCAATAAGATGAATTGTTTATCTGATTGACATATATATATCTCTAATTTTCTTACGTTTTGATTTTTATCTTTTCGTTTTTCTTATTTTTATTCTTTGTACCATTCGCACATTTACATAGGTTTTGAGAAGTTAGATCGTTTCGATGGTTCCGGTATAACCGGGTGAATTATTGATCGGTCGTCCTATGTGATTGCTTTTTTAACTTCTCGTTTGTTTAAGTGTCCTCTTTCACTTTACAAACTACCCCTTAAAGATCGTTTTCTTTACACTTGTTTTTTTAAAACTTTGCGACTAAATTCTTCGAGTGATGTACTCCTTCCAACATGGATAGGGCCTCTGAACTTAGTAGTTTAAACTAAGCTCTAAGCTTTCCTACTATGTTTACGCATAAAATTTCCTGAGGAAGTTCTTGGAAAGCCGCCGAATATCGCAAAGTTTTTCCTTTGTATGGCCTGTTTTCGATCGAAAACTAGTAGAATTACACGCGATAAGGGATCATGCGAAAGGTTTTTTTGTGATATAGTTTAGTCTCTTAGATCGTTTATATATTGGACCCAACGATTTAAGAGATGATGATGACACATTTCACCCTAGTAGCATGGCGAAAATTGTGATATAGTTTAGTTTCGTGGATTGTCTATATAAACTGGTCCGACTTTCTGTGAAATGATGATGCTATATTTCGATTAGTAGCAATAATTTCTGTCACGAAGTATTTCTCTCTGTTTACCATTGATTCGCTATCAGAGGCCTATAAAATGCGAATCACTTATTGATAATGGTACATTATCGATATCGTATTTTATTATTTCGATTTTTTTTTTTTTTGAAAAAAAATTGGTAAATAAATTGAAAAAATAATCGAATAAACTTTTTTTTTAAGTTAATTCTTTTTTCTGTAGATTTAGAATTTTTTTTAAAAATTCCCAATTTCAACTCCTTTTGGGTCATAGATGCAAACCTCCTCGTGGTGTGACCTGGACATCGAACGATTGTTCGATGACTAACTTGCATCACATTAATTTAGTACATTGAAAATAAATAAATAAAATTTATATATGAATTAGAATATTTTTTGTGTTATTTTATTATTATTATTGTTTTTTTTTGTAATAATTTGTAAAATAAAGACGGTGAAACTGCAAAATTTTATGATCTATTAATAAACGCACTTACTTTAAAATTATCGTATGTAAGCAAATTTACAATTGTTCTTGTGATAATTATATAAAATTTTGGTATCTCTCAAATAAATGTTTAGTACATATACGTTGGAATGAAATTAATGTAAATTTAGGTTGGAATGGAATTTCGAATGCAGTCCAAGTTATAGCGGAATTTCGAATGTATTCCAAGTTGATGCAAAATTTAAAAGCAACTTAAGTCGATTTTTGTATAATCAATGAATTAATAGCAATTTAAGTTGATTTTAAATTCGATACTACGTATAATAAATGTGCGATCGATTTACGCAACGATAGATAAATGAATTACCATAACGATAGCTAAATGTATCATGAAAATTGACAAGATATTATTTTGTCTTTTTTCTTATTCCACTTTTCGTTCTTTGCAACACTCTCTACCTGATGACCGAATCTCATTTTTACCTCGTAATGCATTCGAAGAATTGCTTCCCAGCATTTTAGCAAAAAGTCGACAAATAGGCGACATAAAGCCTTTACAACACAGAAAAACTTTGATTTTTGCATTAAGGTTTTACATGATCCAGCAAATACATAATCGGGGATGCGAAAGATCGAAATTATTAAATTTGTCTCAAACCTACTTATATTCATTGAACATTCCTTCAACACTCAAATGGGTAATATTAAAAGCAATTGTAAAAATGCGGGTTAAAAACCATTGTCGCGACTGATACTGAAATTTGGGGTCGTGATTTGAAAATATAAGCACTGCTAAACTTTACATATATTCTTTAATTATTAATTCTAAACCTAAACGCTAACTCAACCATAAAAAAAAAAGCACCCCAAAATTAATGTACCATTACAAGAATAGTTGCCACTCCACTAATCATAAATGTAAAAACTTCGTGTAATGTTTTTAATTTTAATTAATTTTGCAATGTGCAATACTCGATGAAATACACTTGAAATCTATTACAACTTATGTTTATTCGAAATCAATCTAGAAGTTACAATAATTCATTCCTATATATATACTGTATTACGCATAATTGTTGCTGTACGGGTATATAAATTATTTTTTAAATAACTTGATTTCTCCAAACACATTTTTTTTCAAATAAGCGATAAATCAACTTTATTTTCCAGTAAATTTGAATTAATGATCTTTATTATTAATTTCATGAAATAGAGGTTTCTAATTTCAAAATTTTAAACCACAAGATTTTTAACACGCACCCATAAGATTAGGTGCAACATGAAATCAAAACAACCCAATTAACGCATTAATTTAGGTTAAGGGCCAGAGTTAAGATAGGTCAGGATTAAGTAATAATAAAAACTATTATTATACCAAAAATTTGCATGTAATTTTTTTTTATTAGAACGCGAAAAGTTGTTTAGAAACAATCGTTATTCTTCTACGTTACACCTGATCTTACGATCTGATTAGTTGATCAAGTGGGTGTTAATTTACAAAGTTGGAAACCTGATGACTGGCTTTCTATTGACGGCACTTATCACCTGTATAAATCACATAATTTGGGGAATTCCAAAGAGGAGTTTTCAGAATATTCACAATTTATGTCATTCGTAACTGTTAATTTGCTGTCATTCGTCTTTCAGCTTTGCCAGCTATTTAACCCTTCACCAAGAGTACTAAATTTCTCCAGGATTTCACCATTTCGTGCATTATAAAAAAGATATTGGAATTCATGATTGATTAAAATTTGATTGGTCAATTAGTAAGTATCCAAAATTTTTGAAAAATCTTATAAAAAATATGCCATCTTTGCTTATTTTGGAAACCTCTAATAAAATATTTAAATTATCTTATTTTATTTTTCTTATTTGCATTGATTTAACTTGAGTATAATTACTACTACTACCATATCTTTTATCTAATGATTGGAACTAGTTTTATTTTTATTAACCAGTTTTATTAATTTTTTAAAATTGCAAGCAACCCAATACAAATTAGTTGTATCATCTTCAGTTTAGTTTGATTAAATTCGATTAAACAGTTATAATATAAATCTGATTAAATTTGTTGTATTAACCTTGTACATAATCCTGATATAAAGAATTATAACAGATTTAAATCTGCAAATACAATTCTAAAAGACCATTTTTCTGAGGGATTATAATTATAAATAGAATAAATGAATAATGAATCTTATCTATGTAAAGAATTGAGAAAATAATATATATAATAATTGATATTTAAATCTTATTGTAAATAACTAGCAAAACATCTGTTAGTGAAATCTTGAATATGGTTAGCTAAAAATATGTTTTATCACATCGTACTTATTCTCTGCCAGATTTTATAAAACGTGGCTTCGTATTTTTTAGTATTCTAATTATCTTTTGTAATACTGTAATATGAGTATATCAAAACTTATAAGTATTACTGAACTTCCTAAATATATACCGATACTAATCAACAATATATAATACAATGATTGAAAATATATTGGTGATTATTTTTGAATCTGGATCGATTTTATATATAACGTAACGGTAATACCATTTTGGTCTGGATTCAAAAATAATTACCTATATATGCACTAAACCCTAATAAGTAAAAAATGAAACTTCACTTATCGCACTTTAGGCATATGTAGTAAACTTAAGTTAGACTACAGATGATTTACTTCAAGAAAAAAGTCCATTTATACATAATTATTATACGTACTCAATCCTTTTTAACATAATTAAAATTATTAATACGTATAAAATATAAAATGTTATATAAATCGATAGTAAAAAATCTGTAACCGTTCTAAATTGAGAATCGATTCTAAGAATTCAATTGGTGCTTGCAAAAAGAATGTGGCCTCATGATTTTGTGATTATGATTTGCCTAAAAAATATTCACCTTAGCAGGCTATAAATCATTCAAGTGAAAATCGTCAACTAAAATAAAGTTTCCGATGGATCACCTAGATCATTTGGAAGAAATCATAAATTTAAACTACAGGCCACTAAGGTGACTGTATAGTTGATGGTAGAATTCATTTGGTAAATTAATGCAGTTACGGCATGTGACGTATTATTTGCTGTAATTTCCTTGAGCCGTAATGCCGTAATCATAATGCCGTAATTGTAACTAATGTCTGTAATGTCTGTAATGCTGTTATGTTAAAGTACCATAATACTATTATATCTAGATACAGAGAAACCTTCCTAAATGTACCCCTTCGATTTATAGACCAAAATACATAATATTGTTATAAACTAGGGCCAGACTACACTGTGCACTTAAGAGATTTTACATAGAGAATGCATTTATGACGGGTGCACTTAGGGAGGTCTCTCTGTATTATGTTAAAATATTATAATACTGCAACGATATAGGATAACCTTCACCGGTGTTATAAAGTAATTTTAGGAATAGGATATTACATAATAAAGAGAAGATCGCTATTTTATTATTCACTTTCTTTAATTATTATTAAACTCTAAAATGTTCACAGGTTTGAATTAATTTCATTACGAAATTTAAAAGTATTTCTATCATTATGGTTGTGAGGCATATTTATTGGTTGACAAGAGCCATTTTTTCCATAAATTTTTATACAAACTGAACTTACCAAACACACTAAAAAGGCATTCGATAATTGTGAATTTCTTTTATATCTAGTAACTATATAGTAATTATGTAATTAGGATTGAGAGGTGAAAATCTAAAGTGATGCCAAGTTCGGAATCGGGTCACTAACCAATCAACACTATTAAATACTACTCTAATATGGACGCTAATAGTGGAAGGCAACAACTGAGGTGTGTACAGATTTGGTCCAAGAAATTAGGGTCATTAGATTAGAGCTCTAGATTACGTCACGAGGTTCTAATTCTGGGTAAGGGAAGTATTAGAGCATGACACTTATACTACTTTCGAATATTGTATTCTAAGCCAAGCTAACAATTGGGCTTATACTACTTTCAAATATTGTATTCTAAGTCAAGCTAACAATTGGGCTCGATAAACTATCTTGTCTAATGAAACCATTAGGTAAAAATATTTCCTGGCTAATTTTACAATTGTGCGAGTTAAACCTAATTCTGACCAAAAATTATGTAATGTAGGCCAAATTTTGTAGATCACAGTCGTTAGCCAATTATAATACAATCAGTTTGGGCTTGGCATTATGAGTTTGGGTTAGGTTTGGTGTTTAAAATTGGTAAAGTCTAGAGCTTGAGTCCAGTCTGAGATCAGACCAGACCAGACCCGAACCAGATCTAGGAGAAATTTATTTTTTTAAAAATATATAAAGATTTAATATATAATAATCATACCTCTATATATATATTCACCAACTTGGTGAATCTAATTATATATTAATAAGGATATAAGAAATTGGATAGCAAAGCCTATAAAACAGGCTCCATTCCCGATATTGACCATAATATATATTATCATTACACTTTTTTACAATGCAAATACCACATAATTTAAATGCAGGCACCTTATAATTTAATAAAATATTTCTAAATTAAGATTAATTTTTACGTATCTATAGACATTCTACTTTTTCTAAGTGCAGATTCTCATTAATTATGGATTTACTAAAGTATATTATTATGATTCGCCCAAGTGCGCTTAGATAGAGTCGACTATTTAGTCATCATTGTAAATTTGATTTTGTTAATCAAATTAAATATGGATAAAGTTGTCACATTATCCATAATTACATCCGGATTATAGAAATATTTAGTAATCAATTAATGACTATGTAAAATTAATTCTAGAGTAAGTCTGAGATACATCAATGATTATACATTTTCTTTGTCTAAAATTACAAGTAAATGTTCAAACTACCAAGGGGCCAAACATTAAAAATATCTTCACATATTCATTTGTCCAGTTATTTACACGTGAAAGGTAATAACAATGTGAAAATAAACTCAATAGGAAAAAAATAAGGAGAGGATTACTTTCTCAAGTAACGAGAATAAAGATCAAGAAAAAGAATATTATCACTGCAAATATCTTAACCATAAGCCAGCGGTTTGAAGATATGCTTGCATAATATTTAAGCAACTCTTTTTGTGCTCCTTCTACATGTGTTTGGATGTCATCAGTATTTGCATCAATTCTGTTTAACGAGAATTAGTCAAATTAGTTCGACAAGAAATAATAAACATAATCTTATTGGCAAATTAATACCTTTGAACTGTCTCTCGTTGTTCTGCTACCATTTGTGCTAGTTGTTGGAAAATGTTACCAAGCTCAGCTATAGTAGATTCAATTGATTCGATAGCAGTTGCACGGCTTTCAATATAATTATCCTTGTCAAATAATAATAAAAAATTAAATATTTTATCAGATTTTTGTCTAAAATAAATAAATAAATGACATTAAACGTACCTGTTGCTCAATAAACTGCAATTGCTGTTGCTGAACATGACCCGACGACATGTCAAGAGCAAGAAAATCCGTATTTTGATGCTCATTACGCCTCTGCGTGTTGTATAGCGGTGAATTGGCTATTTTGGAGAATAATACATATTAATACCAATTTTTTGATGAAAATTATTTAATTTCATTATTACTAAAACTAATGATGAAAATTATTTAATTTCATTATTACTAAAACTAATGGTGAAAAATATTTAATTTCATTATTACTAAAACTAATGATGGTTCACATACCTGCTGGAATATTAGCATGTTGACTACTTGAAAACATAAACTGCTCCCTTCTATCTTTGCTCTCTTTCATATTCTATATATTTATTTGAGTGAAAATTATGACAGTAAACGATCCCTAGTACTATCCTAGTATATTCTAGTATATCCTATTACTATATAACATACCTGAGTCCGAATTTCAAGCACATCTTTAAAACCCATACTAGTATTAGCTAATTTTGATTGCAACATGACAACCACATTTGAAGAATGTTCATCAGCCTGTTTGTTATTCTTTTTATGATCGCGAACATATTGCTGAAGAAGGGCTATTTGCTTATTTATTTTTGCAATGTCTTGTTTGATTATATAAGTCAATTCCTGTTCAAATAACAACAGAGAAGGAAAAATAATGGGTCAAAAAAAAAAAAAAAAAAATCATAAAAATAAAAAGCACATGTATATATTATTTAAACTCACGCTAATTTCAACAGGTCGATCATCAAATAAAGTTTTCCTTTTAGCCACTAAAGGAAAAAAAATTAATTTGAATACAATAAAAGTAATAAATAATTAAAATCTTAAGCAGAGCCTAATCTTACATTTCGTCAATTTCTGTAACTTTGCTGCCGTGATATTAATATCTTTCCCAATTGCACCAGCCATTCTTGTGAATTCACCTTTATTTAACCCATTCGAACCATTAATAAGCTTGCCTCCGGTATTATTACCGCCTAGCAAAGGTCGACGATGTTCCAAATTGTGCCTTGCCTGAAAGCCACCATGACCATTTGAAGACCTTGAACGGATCGATTCCACAGCAGCGTGAAATTCGGAAGTCCTATCTTTTACCGACATGAAAAGGCAGGAAATAAGTGCAGAAGGGTTGATCCAGAAATGCGCAAATTGCTAAACACTCAAAGAAAAGAAGGAAATGCAGAATATAAAGCCTATAAAGCCAGAATCAACTGAGGCTTATCCTTTTATCTTTTGGTTATTTGTCGATCTATACTCAAATAGTAATATATATACACAACATTTAAATGGTCACGGGGAGTGTATATAGACATTACCTTATAAACGTCGGTACGATGATCCGTAATTCTAACAGTTAGGATACCAAACCTTAAGCTTCGTCACAGATAGCATCCCTTTCTTTGTGTTTCTATCATTGGATCGTTTTATAAGATCGTAAGCGATGGGAAAGCGTAAAACCAAGAGAAAACCCGTGGTCAAGAAAAAGCTCGTTCTCGACACTCAATTCGATTGTATTTTTTGTAATCATGAGAAAAGTGTTGATGTTAAAATGCAAGTTTTCGTTTTTTTCTAAGAACATTGTTGAAATAATATAGGTGTTGCGCTGATACATGATTGAATTAAAAAAAATAATTATTATGATCAATCAGGCAAAAGGAAACTCAGATCGGAAACTTGACTTGTAGGATATGCGGTGTTGGCTTTCAATCAATGATAAATTGTAGTCGCTTTTAAATATATATATTTTTTATTGCAAATTTTCCATTTCATTTTATTTTATTTTATTTTTTTAATTAATTGATTTTTACAACCTTGTATGCAGCTTTAAGTGATCCTATTGATGTATATTCAGACTGGGTTGATGCATCCGAACACGTTCGACCAGAGGGAAATCTTTCTCATGGAGATTATGAAGACGACGCTTTACATGACGAACAAAATGAAAGGGAAGAAGACGATGAAGGATCGTATCAGGGTAGTCACCGGGTAATTGGAGGTGGACGATCCCCAGATTATGAAGACTATGATGATTTGGATGAATAGGCAATAAGGTTGCGACCTAAATCTTCTCTTTTTTTTTTTAATAATGACATTGTTACGTAGTTTGAGATTTGGAATTTGGACTTTTACATAATTTGGGATAGTAAAAAAATTCCCATTTTCGGTTAACTCAAAACTGGTCAAATTTATTAAGTATATGCTATAAATTATTAAAATTTCAGATTAAGAACCAAGAGTGATTTAGTAACTAAGCAAGGTTAGGTTAAATAGATTAATATATCGGATCCAATAATTATATCGAAATGTATACAAGAAGTGAAAAATAATTATAAAGTGATCAAGTTTCCTTCGAAATTCGAGAAGTTCCTAACAGCTTTTTTTTAAAAAATAAATAAAAACTCTTAATGAAAGTTGATTCCTTATTAGTTATCTATATTGTTAAATTATGTAATTTTTGTTAATTGATAAATGAATTATTTGCGATTCTTGATCTCGGACCATCATTCGCAATTCATAGTAATTAACAAAATTTAATCAATCCTATGAGCTCTTATAAACGACCAGGTGTGATGCAAATCTTTATATATAAATAGCATTTTAAAAAATTTGATCTTCACTATTTGTCACACTTTTAATGCTGGCGTTACTTCATTATTACGTACTAAAGTACATTATTACGTACTAAAGTAATATTTGAATTGTAACACATCAATAATAATAATAAAGTAATTCGTATACGTATACATTTTTTTTCTAAAAATAAATGGTAATTTTGAAATAAATTTGAAAGCATTTTAGTTTTTTATAAGTTTTTTATACTTTCTTGCATAATTTGTTGTAATTGCTTTTTACATTTTATACAAATGTTTGTTAGTCCTAAGGCAATATTATTTTTGCTTATATTTTCAGACAAAGTCATAATTTTGATTGTTTTAATTCTACTGTCATATTTGAATTGATTTTCAAATCTAATTTGTTAAAAAGTTTTTTAATTTGCTATTGATGGATTATAATAAAGTAAATTCATTTTTTAACAAATTTATATTATAACAAGCAGTATTGTACACAGATGTTGTCTTATTAAAAGTGTATAAATATAAACAGTTCTAGACAGTGTTTTATGTTCTGAACAATGTTTTATATCTGTAATGATTGTCTTATATCATAGTTTATTTAACAACCTAATTGGTTAATACAGGTATTCTTATTATAATATTAATTGTTTAAAATAAAAAATATTGACAAATCTGTTTAAAACATTCTGTTCTGAATTGTTTATTATTTGCATCTGTGTCTTATGACAACATTAATAACAAATATTTATAAATTTTAGAACTTGAAATAAAAGAAATTTTAAATCCCAATTCTAAATTTTTTTTTTAACTATCTTAGATGAAGCATTATAGGACACATATAATGTTCTTTATTATTAAATATATTTACAAAATTATTATTTATATATTAGAGGTTCTAAGCTAAATATTTATAAATTTTTTTATAGACTGTCTTGACTAAGGTTTTGGTCTGAAATAAACCAATCTCTTTAAAGATTCTGTTTTTTGCTATAACAGCAATTGCTATTTCTGAATATAATATCTTATTTTATTTATATGCTGCATAATAGCACAAAATTTTATATATAACATGTATATATAATTACAGAATTATGCTATACAAAGGGTGTGACGATCTAGTAAAGTGGTTAGGTTGTCAACCTCCAAGTGGCAGATCCAGAGTTCAAATTTCAGTGTTGATAGAAAATTTAAAAATCCTTCCTGTGTTACAGTTAACTGTCTCTTGCAATTGGTTGAGATAAGACATCTGTAATCTATGTCGCACTAGTATGACTGGCAGGTCACATGGCATTTGTATAACAGTCATATGACATTGTTCTTTGGAACAAGGTTTGTGGTTACGCAAAGGAATGCAAACTGGTACTGGGTGGTGCAAACCTACAATAAGTCCTCATAGCTATGTAAATCATAGGAACTAATAGAAAAAAGATGAAAGCCTACTTGAAAGACCTAAGTAGAGAGATAACCTGAGCTTTCAACAGTGCTACTGTAAAAACTAGACTTATAAAACGGAGCTAAAACTTGTAAAACCAGGCAAATAAGCCAATCCTTAGGGAGGGACCAGATGAACCAACTAGGCTGCCAGAATTTCTAGGTTCTGAAAGAAAAGAATACATGCTAGTAAACATGTAAACCAGAGGTGTATGGTTTCGATCTACCTTTTCAGGCTATCTGAAATGACAACTTGGTGGAACTTGAATTGAATACTAAAGTAGTAAGGATATGTTGTGAAGTAAGTATCAGGGTTGGGATAAACTCTACAAGGACATAGCAGTTTAATGATATGCCTTGACTGCTAGTGTTGGTCTCGGTCATAGCGATACCGGGTCAGCTATAAGAATAGAATACAGAAGATTCTGGCTTTATAGGCTTTATATTCTGCATTTCCTTCTTTTCTTTGAGTGTTTAGCAATTTGCGCATTT